ATGGTATACTATGGTATAGTGCAGTATAGTATTGCTGCAAGCGTCAGCGCATGGGCTATGGAACTCAGCCTCACCCTGCACGTTACCACACGACTCTGTAACAAAGCTGACCATGGGCACCCCTAAACCCTGAACCTAAACCCTAAACCGTGCTCGAAGTATGACTTTCCTTGATGCTCCCAAATGCCCAAGCTGAGATGCTCTTTATCACCGACTCCGGTGGGGCTTGAGACCTCCATAAACCCTAGGACATAAAGTGCACAAAGCCCTACCCCCCGAAGCCAGAATCGCATCCCGAAGAGATCAAGTAACCTTAAGAGGAAACCCGAAACCCGAAACACCGAACACGGACCCGAAACCCCAAACCCGAAGCCCAGAGGACCCTAAACTCTATGATCTTTCGGCCTCATCGGCGGGAGATGCGGCCGAGATCGACCTTGGCAACTTGGCGAAGCGAGACAATGGAGACGCCCCCGAAACCCAAGGCTAACCTGTTAGGTTCTGTAGGACTGAGAATACCCAAAAATTTAAAGGATGATAATACACCAACAAGGTTAAAGGTTAACACTATATACTCATCACTACTAGTTCAGAACTCCTGGCTTTTAGTTCTCTGTAAGGTATGAGGCGAGCAAGCCCCCCCCCCCCCNNATCTGGGAGTTTCAGAAAATAGGGGACCCTAATATAGTACCCCAAATAATAGGATCCTTATTATAAGGACCCCCAAAATAAGGTACCCCTAATTATCGGAAACCCCCATCTGAACTTATAAACGATGAAAACAGCCAGACCCAGCATCACAAACCTTCTTAATTCGGGGTTTCAGGGTCTAGGGTTTCGGGTTTGGGGCAGTATCCCAAACCTTATGAATTCAGGTTTAAGGGTTTAGGGTTAAACCTTGGCAGCCCTAAGCCCCAAAAACACTACTTGGAGGATCATGGGACTTAGTAAGTAAGGTTATAAGTCCCTTACTTGGGGTTATAAGTAAATCTAAGTATAGTTACCTTAGTTATAACCCTACTTACTAAGTCCCACGATCCTATCAGTACCGCCAGCCCGGGAAGCCCCCCCAAACTGGTTCCAGGGCCCTTGCTCGTCATGCTGGCGCTCCTGCCGCCTCTCAGGCAATCCCCAAACGGTTTAGGGTTTAGGGTTTAGGGTTTAGGATTTAGGGTTTAGGGTAAACCATCAAACCGCAAACCCCTAAACCCTCAACCGCCCATAAACCCTAAATCCTGCAGGGAATCTCAAGTCAAAGGTGCAACTTCGAGGTTGTTCAGAGTTTAGGATCTGCGGTTGTTTAGTGCTCCCAGATTTCTGACAGCCTTAGGAGTGAGACTTCAGGTTAACAGGGGCGACGGAAAGAAGTGCAGTGCGTTTCCGCGATGTCTTCTGAACATGATCCTTTGGTATGACCACGTCTGGCATTTGCAACTTGCAACCTTGGAATTTAGCCACCGGTGTCCCGCCAGTCATGGGATGCGCCAACATCGCTGAGATAACATAGGTGCCTTAAGTTACGGAAAAGAACAGGGTTTCGGGGCATATTGGAATATCAGTGTATTATTGACTATTCAGGAATAAGTTGTGTCGGTGCGCCGGCGTCACCGGCCGCAGCAAACCCAACCTGACACGCAACATCCGATGTTATCAAACCTGAAAGCATCTGCGAATGTAGATGCTGTCTGCAGGTAGCCGAAAATGGGGGTTTCCGAAAATAGGGGACCCTAATATAGTACCCTAAATAATAGGATCTCTATTACAAGGACCCCCAAATAAGGTACCCTAATTTTCGGAAACTCCCAAATGGAACAGCAGGCGGTAATTCAAGAACGGCTCCTACCCTGGGAGCCCCAATCCAGCCCCAAAGTTGACAAACAAATGGAAAAACCGGCCCGAAACCCTAAACCCTAAACCCTAAACCCTAAACCCGAAACCCTAAACCCTAAACCCGAAACCCTAAACCCTAAACCCATAAGAGGGGTCCCCTAACTTCGGATGAGCCCTCGGACGCCTGACAAAGGCGCGTGTGTACTCGACTGCTCCGGCCTGAGTAGGCATCGGAGTCTCGGAAGGCCGCCAAGGACGTGCTCTCGAGGTGTAGCATATGGGGGTTTCAGAAAATAGGGGACCCTAAGATAGTACCCTCAATAGTAGGATCCTTAATTATTATCAGGACCTCAAAAAGGTACCCATAATTTTCGGAAACTCCCATGTGTATGTATACATCGATGTAGGTGTATATACTTATGATCACCTACCTACCGACCAACCTACCTACCGACCGGCCGACCGACCGACCCACCTACCGACCTACCGACCTACCGACCTACTGACC